TATCTAAGAAAGTCGCACAGACCCCTGATCTATATCCCACTATTGTGCAATTTTTAACAAAATCAGGGAAGAACCCAAGTAAAGGACTTAACAGATTTTAGAACAAGCTGCAGCTTCTGGAATTCCTCCCAGCGTTGCTATTTTAAGTGGTTGGACCCCCTGGCTGCGCTTGGTTAAGTTATGGAACAGGGCTCACTCAAACAGTTTTGTCTGGTAGTTACTGGACTCGTATGGGTATCTGGATCATAGCAAGCAATTTCTAGTCTTAACGTTCACTAAAAGTCAACCCTTCATACTTTTCTCCTCCCCCCCCACCTTATTATATTCTGTCTTATATGTAGCTAGTCTGTTTCACCGTTCATATTTAATATTAAGTAGACCATTGTTTGCATCATAACACAGGAGTGTAAAATTGCAGACCCCTGAACCACACACGTTCTTACATAATATATAGCTTTCTTCATATTTCTAAATACAGCAAGTTTAGGTCATGGTATTCCTTTAAAACTTTATGGTGTAATTTTGTCCCCCCAGAAATATAGATTTCTAATGTAATATGTACATGGCATAACTGACATGTTGAAAACTGTTTTGTTTCTTTCAATAGTTGTCATTTTTCCATTTCGGAGGAGAGGTGTGTTTATTTTCAAAATGGTTCCCAAGGAGAAAAAAAACAACCCAAAGAATTTTCCTTTCATTTCTAGGAATCTCTCCAAAGCTCCTTCCAAGCAGCTTGGAATAATGTGTGCAGCTACCACAGGGTCCAGATCTCAGCTCGGAAACTGCACTGTTTCTATTTGTATGCTAAAATTGCTGGGTAAATAGTGTGAGGTTCTGTTAGTCCCAGTCCCGGAAGGGAAAGGATTGTAATTTTAAACCTCCCAAGTTATTGTGCAAAATAACCTCAAACCACAGAGGGTTGCATCCTGAATTTTTTTTTTCTTTGTGGTTTAGAATGGCTGACTAGTGTTATGCAGACTGTAAAATTAGCTTTAGTTTATTACAGGGACTGTAATAAACTACTTACATGTCTGTCCTCTGTATTGCCCATATCCATATGTTAATAACTGGCTTTGGTTTAGAAACAAAATAATACAAATATAAATGAGGTTACATGAAACAACCTACAGAATAATGCAAAGACACAAAATTTTAATCTTGGAAGTTTATTCATATTGTATATTGCTGTGTAAGCGAATGCCTGCTTAAAACAATTGTTTCTGCTTATTGTTTTTTTATAATTATTATTGGTATTTATGAAGTACCAACACATTCCACAGCAGTGTACAATATTACATACAAAGTAAAAGGTTTGGGGTATAGTTACACAAACGGTAGAAGTAAAATGCATTTTGTAGCAAAAAATGGCTGCAAGTTAAGTTTACAATAAAATATGAAAATTTAAATGACGTGATCAGAAGAAATGGAGTGTGAGGAAGAGAGAGGAAGGATGGATTAATAGGTCTGCTAGAAGTTCGCTCATACAATTTACTAAAAGCTATGTTTGATAAAAAATACTGACCTTGAACCAACCTTGAAAACAATAAAGTGACTCAAGCATTCTTGAACCAATCTGCCAACATGATACTGATTGACTGTCAATTATTGTTGCTTAAGTTGTAGCTTAAAGAAGTGGTATCCGGGCACTGGTCACCGCAATTTCAACTTCACCTTTGCAGTGGAGTGTGGGTAAATATGCTTAAAATGAGAAGTGGTGAAACACAATGCCCCCCATTCCAATCTCCATCCTGTGCTATAGAAGGAATGAATGCAATGTCTTCTGAACCTCCATTATAGGTACAGACTGCATGATACCTAGCATGGCTAGGATCAATAAACATGTAGGGCTTGAGCCCAAAACTTATTTGTTGACCCCTTCCAAACATCCTACCCATTGCCCCTTTCCAAACACATCCCTTTATACTCTTCTTGACATATTCACAGTTACAGTCACGCACAGATACACACAAACACAGAGACTGGCAGACACACACAAACATGTACACAGGCACAGATTAGAACACACAAGCACACACCGACACAGGCAAGCATAGACAGGCACAGACCGACACAAACTGGTACACATAGATACAGATGGGTGCACACAGACAGAAACACAAGACAGACACAGATAGGCATACAGAGATACAGACAGCTAGACACGCACAGGCACACCCAGACACACACAGACATACTTATATTACATTAAAAGGGTACTGGCTCCATTATATGTTATGATTATGCAGATGGTGGGGTATTATATTCCCGGTATCTCTATCACTGCATTGCTTCTGCTCCCAATGCATTACAGTGATTGCAACCCCAAGCAGCAAAAACAAATTGCTAACAGAATATGAGACATTCAGAGAGGGATGTATGCCCCAAATAGATGTTGTACCACAAAGAATTCTGTAGACCAGTAGGGGTTTTTAACACAGGACCTGTGATAGGTAACATGAGATGGTAGACCGGATTTGGTAAGCATTTATAAAAGGAATCTGTGACGTTTACATTTTTTTATTTCTTTTTATAGACCTAAAGGGTTTTTTATAGGAAAATAAGGCAAATTGAAATTCTAATTTTTATGACAGTAATGTCCAACAGGAGGAATACTTACAGAAATCCTTGTCAATAACCTGTCTTATCCAATCTCACTTGTGCACCCATCTGACCATTCTGAAGTAGACGGTGGGAGAGGAGTATTAAGGCTGATTTATGTATGTCTTGCAGCGTATGAAAAACGTTTCCCTTTAGTATATGGCATTATTATGCTAAAGAGCCCTACATGGAATAATGACTTGATTTTAATGCTTGCATCATTCTACATATTTGAGGTCATGAGTGACCAGGAAAACATGACAGAAGAGGCAACTCCAATCCTTGTCCATTTAAATGGTCAGAAAAGTACTCTATAGAAACATAGAATGTGACGGCAGATAAGAACCATTCGGCCAATCTAGTCTGCCCAATTTTCCAAATACTTTCATTAGTCCCTGGCCCTGATCTTATAGTTAGGATAGCCTTATGCCTATCCCACACATGCTTAAACTCCTTTACTGTGTTAACCTCTACCACTTCAGCTGGAAGGCTATTCCATGCATCCACTACCCTCTCAGTAAAGTAATACTTCCTGATATTATTTTTAAAACTTTGTGTAATACAAATGTTATACTTGTAATATTTTTATTACACACAGAAGGTTAAAAGCATAAGAGTCTATTTATACAGATAGTTAATACAATGTTAAACAAAAATCTGCACACCAGTCAAGCCATAAGACTTGCTTTTCCACAGAAATATACAGAGAGAGAGTTGTTACCATAGAAACAGTTTACGGAGTCTGTGAATTCCACATCAAATTTATTACATGTAAGTAGATTTAGGAAAAATTATCGTTACTCTGTTTGTATATATTCCACTTCACTGCAAAATATATTAAGGGAAATATTTATACAGACTCACTCCACGCATCTCACATTATTGGCACACAACCAAATGAGACTTGTCCTCAACTTCTTTGTGATTGTTGAAAATGATCTCAAGTTCCGAATCTTCAGTTACTTTTTTCTCTCTCCCTCTGCCTGAAACAAGCATCCTACCATGTGTTTTAAATAAAGCCTATGATTCTCCAGGAATTAAATATACAGCCAGAAGGGAAGGCTTAATGGGAACTATAGGAAAACGGTATAAACATTTCAAATGAATAAATGTTTGGGGTTTTATTTTTTATTTTTTTGTTTGTGTACATCTGCATTTAAAATTAAAAAAAATGGCAGTTTTACATTAAATGGGAGTATTGACAAAGGAAGGGCAAATATTAGGAAAAATAGTGTGGAAAAATTGTTATTTTTCTAGCAGTTAATTTCGACCACTGCAAATCTCTCGGCAGTTCGTTGCATTTCCAAGACTTCTGAATGAACACCCTGTCCATTCTGTCATGTAGATTGTTAGCTCTGGAGTCCAGGATAATTTTCTACAGTCTTTATTCTCTCTAAAATGTGCAACATGTATACAGATCACTCACATAACTATTTCCTATGGGTTGTCCTAATGTGATTGTGGCGCTCATCGTGCAAGCGCATTAGGTCCCCAATGTCGGGGAAGGAGGAGAGGGACATTGGCGCTGGATTCAGGAAAGTAAATGGTTTTTAACCCTTTTGGCGTTGCAGGGGGGATGCTTAAGTGAGGGGGCACTATAGTGCTAGGAATACAATTTTGTATTCGTAGCCTATAATTTCCATTTAGCATGCATCTGTTTGTGTGGATGCAAGGGACCCTGCAAGATTGCCTCACCCGGGGCCTTGCAAGCTGTATGTGCGTCCTTGGACAGAAAGAATGTAAATGAGAGATCGTGGAGTGTGTTTAGAATGTGGGAGAATATTTCTTGGATAGCTAAATGCAGAGAATCGTGGAGAGATATTGGAGAACATTAATGCTGGAAGTAGCTCAGTCGAGGGCCTCCGAGAGGAAGTGAATTCATTGCAAACAGTTGGAAGTAGTTTTTTTTTTAAAACACACGTTATAATGAATTCCTCTCTCAGTTGAGGATAAAAGCCAGAATCCTGTATCCTCACCCCCGCATTACTATAGAAACAAGGCTGTTCACAGATAGAATGCCGCTTAGTATTGTTCTGAGGCTGCCCTCTGCACTCATGTCCTCTCAGTGAGGCTCAGCCGCTTGCTGCAAAAATTAGAGTTCATTTATTTATAATGCACCAACATGTTTCGCAGAACTGAAATCATTTCTGATATTTGCTGTTGAGTTGTGCCAACATTAGCTGCCTGGTTGCAATTCTAGGTTAAACAAATCCAGAGTATCATCACCAGAAGACAGTCTCGCAGTTGTTACATTTGTCCCCAAATTAGATTTATCTTTAATAGTGTTGCTAGATCCATCATGTATACGTCAACAGATATCACTTACACATAGTGGTGTGAAGCGCATGAAAAGTTTAGAATAGACTAGCAACATGACCCCACCCCCCACCCCCTGAGGACCGATGGGGGTTGTCACGGTACCCCAAGCACCGCAACAAGCGACAGGCACAATGGACTCCCTACATGAAGCGAAGCAAGGGGCCACCAAGATGGTGGATCACTCTGACACGATAGTGTCGGACAAGCGACGGCAACAGCATGCTAAAACAGAAACCGTAGACCACACAAAAGACTCTATCGCATTAATTTTTGACCGCTTCTGGCCAAGTTAGCGGCACGCTTACAGCCTGACACACCAAACCGAAACCCACCCGCAAAAGGGCAGAGCCATCGGCGGAAGGAGGACAGAGGATACTCACCAGGGCAACTCGATGGCCCCTACTCTAAACCCCCACGTCAAGGACCCCCCCGGACCAGGAGCAACAATGGGCATGACCCAGAGGGGGAGAGTGGTAAGGTGAATACGTAAGCGACCAGCTAAACCTCTCCGAACCACCCCACAAGGGACGACTCTGGGCCACACAGGCTCCCAGGCTCGTGGCCTACGAGCAACAGCTCCCACATGGTTCTGGGGCAAGGGAGGATCCCCACCCCCAGAACAGCAGGGCTCTACCCAGCGGAGACAGACTCCAGGCGCAAGACCAGAGCCCAGACTGCACTCGACACTCAGCGGTTACCAGACCCGCAGCAGCACAGCACTCCGGGTGCATACCGGAGGAGGGCATCCTACCGAACACCGCATCTGCACGGACAACCATCCCCACGGTCCGAGCACACAGAGGAGCCCCAGCCAAATGACGCCTCACCTGATCATGCTGGACCCGACCGAAGAAAGGTACCTGAAACAGGCCAGCAAGAGGGAGACAGGGGACACCAGTGAGGGACTCACATGGCAAAACTCAGTCTGGCCCCAACGGGGAATCGGCTGACTCTACAGATAAGTAGAGGACTCTCCCATCCCTGGCAAGCAGCTCCAAATGCACCCGTAATAGACTTAAAACGTTTTTTACAAGCGCCTATTTTTCATTTTCCTTTATTACTCTTGTTGCTACGACTAATACAGTAAGGGAACAGAACTACAAATAGCCAGGGCCAGTGTATTAACTTTGCCTCCTTTATGCACGCCTAGTATGTGACACGATCGTCTCACAGCATAGCGAGTTAAGCATCTATGCACATTAGCATTGCCTCATCGTTTTAAATACCATTATGGTTTTATGTCTTTTTCCTTAAAATAACTGGTTGCTGACCTAAGCCTACAATTACACTACGAATCCCTACCATTTGTAATCCAGCATATCCCTACCATTTGTAATCCACTCTTGTATAAAAACTAGACTAAGCATGTACAACACAGACTGAATGTTACTCTGATATCCAAAAATTAGCAGTCTAGATATACCAGCAATGTTACCTTTTAGTTATGAATCAGAATTAGCTGTTAGACCCTCTACTGTTTACTACTTAAACAATTGAGTTAATTAGCAAACTGTTTATTATAGTTCAGACATATGTCTAGCTTATCATTATGCTTTTCAAAACAAAATATGTGCAAATTCTCTATGCCACTGTTTCACCTATCTATGTTCAAATATAAATGCACGCTGTTGTGGCGTATGACTATGCTATGTACCCACCTGCACAATAGAGATGTCGCGAACTGTCCACCGAACTGTTCGCGAACTGTCCGCCGAACTGTTCGCGAACTGTCCGCCGGCGAACAATAGCGTGTTCGCGTTGGGCGAACATATCTGATTTCCAGTCCGCCCCCTATACGTCATCATTGAGTAAACTTTGACCCGGAACCTCACAGCCAGCAGACACATTCCACCCAATCAGCAGCAGACCCTCCCTCCCAGGAAGTGTCTGCTGACTGTGAGGTTCCGGGTCAAAGTTTACTCAATGATGACGTATAGGGGGCGGACCGGAAATCGGATATGTTCGCCCAACGCGAACACGCTATTGTTCGCCGGCGGACAGTTCGCGAACAGTTCGGCGGACAGTTCGCGACATCTCTACTGCACAACAAAAATAAAGAATTATAAAAAAAAAAAAGGACTTGTCACCATACCATGCATTTAGTAGAACTGGGATCTCCGCTAGTTGGACCTCCTCCGAAGTTCAAATATGTAAGACAAGTATAATTGATGGTAGATGCAATAAGAGCATAATTGCTAGATAATAAAAAAAATGTAAATGACAGTTATAAGCATTCTTTATTCTCTTAAATTTAGTACAGTGTATGTGATATGATACGACACATCATTAAATATTCCTTACCTAATAGTACTTAGTCATAAGTTATACTGTTAAGTCACATACCTATGACTAAGTACCACTAGGTATGAAACATTTTCTGATGTGCCGATTTCATGTCATGTACACTGTGCTAGCTTTCATGAGAATAAAGAAGTAGAAAAATCACATCAGCAGATTTGGTTTTCTGGTTATTAGGAAGTTGACAGAAACTACTCTTAAAGGACATTATAGGTACCCAGACAATTTTGTCTCAACGGCGGGAAGTCGAAGGAGATGAATAAGGCACCTGCAAGGAGTGGATATCTGCGCTGGAAAAAAAAATTAAATTTATGGGAAGCCCTGAATTTAAATGCTCAGGAGAACACTATAGCGTAATAAGTTTGTATTCCTAACACTATAATCTTTGTGACATTTACTGCTGTGGCAGATGGTGAGGACGCACTCTCAGAAACGCAGAGACCTTGGCTCCTTTTCCAGGAAAGAAAACCTTAATCTCTACCAGGAAGAATAAAGATGGAAGTGGATATTTTAAAAATGTACCCCTCCCTTCCCTAACACAGTGAGCAGAAGCCTACGCTTTTATCAGTCAGTTCCTTAAACAGTTCTCTTACTTTGGGCACTCCTTTCTAGAGACAAAGTTGTAATGAAAGTTGCCAAATGAGTTTGAGACATGGTGTGTGTGTGCACATTGGGTTACGCAGCTTCAGAAAAAAATGTTTGATTTTATTTTATTTTTTTCTAAAGCAGTCAGGTCACATTAATAATGAATCTGTTTTAACTTCACCTGCAGTGCTGGCCTTGGTTTTTATTTTATTGAGTTTGTTATAATGTTATGTTCCTGGAACTGATGATCGCAATCCTTATTTGTGATTTCATCCATTGTTTGTAGAAACTTCAGTGCCAGGTGCCCAGCTTCCTCACTCCGTGTTGTATTTTCTTTTTCAAGGTTATTTATTTATTATTTTCTCATATTACAAATTCTACATACTTAGCAACAGTATCATGAAGCCAGGTTACCTGCTTTGCTAGCCACAATTGTGAACTAGCTCCGAAGCATCCCAGAGTCTAATTCTATCTCTTTAAGTAACCGTCTAGGTTGCCAGAAATATCCTTAAGATTTTTAATCCAACTTCAAAATTTTAAGATTGAAAATAAACCGTCACATTGGTGGACATTGTATAGGTTTCAATTCCACTTTACCTTAGCTGCTGAAGATGTCAAGTTCCATATTTGTCAATGAAACCACCAGTTTTTGTTAAACTGCTCCCTCTGTAAAACAAGAGTTTTCACCATAGACTCTTTTTTCCCCATAAGCACTACACTGAGCTGTAGTGGTTATAGTGCTTGTAATGCCCCTTTAACTGGGCTCATATTTGTTAAATGCTAATGCATGGAAACCAAAGAGTGACTTTCTGCCTATTAAGAAATTAAAAGGTTCTGTGATGTCCGCTAAACATTTTAACACCATGAGAATTCAGAATCCTGAGAATTCTACGCCACCTTTACTTTGCTCCTATTAGAGGTTTTAAGCATAAGTTGAGGCATAATTAGTGTAAAAAAACACTATGGTAGGCTGAGGCCTGTTACCTGCTTAGTGCCTTCCCAAAGCTTAAATAGTGAAGAGGCTGAACCCCTTTACATTTCGAAGTATATATATGTAAATGGCTCTGGTTTATACCTTGCTGTGTCTCTTGTAATGATAAGTGCTCTGAAATATTTGACCTTTCTAACCTAAACACCTAACCCACTTAATTTCTCCTCACTTTTATCTGTTTCAATCAATGCTTTATACAAAGCAGCAAATAAAGACTGGGAAGGTTAAAATCCTGCATGCTCAGTTCATTTATTTTTTTGCTTACTTTATGATCTGTAATTGTGCGACCTTTGCTAAGAAAACATGCTTTGATGAAGTCGTAAACCAGGCTGCTAAAGGTGGGAATATAACAAAGAAGGCAGATTAGATAAACGAATTATTTCCCAGTGCAATTATTTCCCAGATAAACCTATAGTAATGTACTTTAAAGTGATAATTTTTTTCACTAATGGCTCTTGTACATCTGGGCAATCTTGGAATTCAAAATGTTAAATTTTTTTGTTTTTTTACATTACTGTTTTAATTTTGTTTAGTTTTTGTTTTTTGATTACTAATAACAGCTGTATGTTTCAGTACATTCCTTGTAAATCTGTTTCTATGAAATGATAATACTTTTATATATATATTGTGCCAGGGATAAAAAAAAAAATAGACAGATCGCTTAATTAGCAAGTGGTAAGCAAGTTAAATCGTAAAATTCCTAAAACGAGGCACTGTGTCTTCTGAGATTTCTGTACAAATAAATCGTTATCTAAAATTAATAAAAGGTTTTAACTAAATGTCACCTTTTTTGTTTCATACGTACAAGAAACAGGATTGCATACAATAAAAATATTCTATATGATGTTGGGAAGGCACATGTCCTCTTTGCAAGGAAGCCTTCTACGACTACCTGGGCACATAATCATAGGAAAAGGTCAGTGACAATATCTAGCAGCATTATGGATTTAACTTATCTCTGCTGTGCACCTCAAACCACCGTAGTAGAATATATTGGAGTAAGGGAAAACAGTACTGTCAATAACTCACACACTTTTATGTTATAAAGGGACACTCTAGTAACCAGAACCACTACAGCTTAAAGGGACACTATGGGCCCTAAAACAACTTTAGCTTAATGGCACAGTTTTGGTGCATAGATCATGCCCCTGCAGTCTCGCTACTTAATTCTCTGCCATCTAGGTGTTATACCACTTTGTTTATGTAGCCCTAGTCACACATTTGTGCATGTGGCTTGCACATCCTTCCTAAACACTTGCTTTAATAGAGTCAACTAAAGTTTAAACTTTCTTTTTTGCAAAGCCTGTTCAAGTTAGACTTCCTTATCTTCTGCACTGGTAATAACCTTCTAGACAATGAGTGTCCAACCTTTTGGCTTGCCATATTGAGCAAAGAGGAATTGTCTTGGGCTGCATATAAAATCTATAGTATAGTATACAGTGAGTGAAAAAAGTATATGATCCCCTGATTTTGAACATTTGTCCACTGACAAAGAAATGATCAGTTTATAATTTTGACGGTAGGTGTATTTTAACAGTGAGAGACAGACTAACAAAAAAAAACTTAAATCCAGAAAAACGCATGTCAAAAAAGTTCTAAATTGATTTGCATGTTAATTAGTGAAATAAGTATTTGATCCCCTATCAATCAGCAAGATTTCTGGCTCCCAGGTGTCTTTAATACAGGTAACAAGCTGAGTTTAGGAGCACTCCCTTTAAGAGAGTGCTTCTAATCTCAGCTCGTTACCTGTATAAAAGACACCTGTCCACAGAAGCAATCAATCAATCAGATTCCAAACTCTCTACCATGGCGAAGACCAAAGAGCTATCTAAGGATGTCAGGGACAATATTGTAGACCTACACAAGGCTGAAATGGGCTGCAAGACCATCGCCAAGCAGCTTGGTTGGAAGGTGACAACAGTTGGTCCAATTATTCGCAAATGGAAGAAACACAAAATAACTGTCAGTCTCCCTCGGTCTGGTGTTCCATGTAAGATCTCACCTCGTGGAGTTTCACTGATCATGAGAACCGTGAGGAATCAGCCCAGAACTACACGGGAGGATCTTGTTCATGAT